GCATTCAGTAGAAACTTCTACACTTCATGAGTCATATTTAAAATCATCTGTTCTTTGTGGTTGCTGACTGTTAAGTCTGAGTTTTAAATTTTCCTCCAGTCGGGTTTTTTTGTGCTTTAATGGCTTTTTCTAATGACATGCTGAATTTTAAAGAGGGCACGTGTAAAATGCAAGATAAGACATGCCAGGAAAGCATGCATTACTGAATAGTTTCAGATAGGCGACTGTCTGGGGCTTTTGTTCTCACTATATTCTCAAATGACTACTCTGAATTGTCATTAAATTTATAGTTTGTTTTCTGTAAACACCTCATTGACTAAATAAATATTACATATATAATATGTGTTGATTTAATTTTTAGTTCATACTTTTTGTAAGTTAAACTAAACGCTTTGTTGAATATGTACTTAATTGAAAATTTGTACTTTTTTTAAGAAGTACCTTATAAGTGATTCACAGTTTCTTAGCCTTTTCACATACGTATATACATATTGCCTGACTTCAAAGCTCAAATGCCATCTAAGAACCAATGGCAGGGTAGAGAGATTATGACCCAGTTTGAACTCTTTTAGGCCCTGATGGGAGATCACTCCTAGAGAATCATTTAGAGGAAGTCCTCTGTGTGTTTGCTGTTTGGATGACGAATAAGCTTTTAGTTTGCTCCGAAATAAGCTTCCGCAGATAAATTCCTGATCTATGTACCCTTTTTTTAAAGCCTGTGCAGGAATTATGCACATTGGATGCTTGCAGATAAAATAAAGCACATTCCACTTCCATGACCTTCCAGCAATGTGTGACAATCTGCTGTCAGTGCTGATTGAGGTGAGAGGCAAAGAAAAGGAAAGGATATTAACAGAATCCCAATGGAATGAACGGGTGCAGACAGATTCTTTTTTCCAGGGTTTTATGGCCCCTTCCATGTACTTGAATGGTTCTCAGTTGAACCAAATTATATTTTCTGGTGTTTGTGAATCAAAGGTGTTGACAGGCGTGAGTACGGCCAACAAGGCTGCATGACAGAGTCAGGGTGAAAGTATGCAGGGGCTTTTAGAGCCACTGTAAGAAATGTAGACGGCCAGCCTCTCCTCACACAAAAGCTGTAGAACAGTCTCGCACCTGAGTGGAAGCCTCAGTCTGTTGGGGGGACGGGGGTTATTTTAGGTATCCCTTTAAGAGTTTGCCCTTCTTGCCCCCTTAAATCCATAACAAAAGACCCCAACTCTCTCCTGGATAATAAGATTCCCAGCCTTCTCTGCACCCCAGAGGAGTTGCTCCGACTAGAAATGCAGGTGCATGTGATCCTTTAAAGGGGGACTCATTATGGCCATTCACAGAGGGAGATTCTGGGAAAAGAGAAACCTGTTATCTAAGACCCATATTTTGTGTTACCCAGCTTGCCACTATATGATGATGACCTTAGAAAGTTCCAGTAAAGAATAAAACAGATGTTTACATGTAGGCGAAATGCTTCTTAAATTAGCCCATATATTTGGGCTGCTGACAGGAAGAAGCCTCTGCAGCTTTGTCTGTATGGATGTGACTAATGGCCATTAGACACAGAGTGGGAGTCAGGAAGTATTAGGGGTACGGTATGCTAAAAATGTGACAGAAAGCAAATAGTTGGTGGGAAGACATAGTTTTGCGACAAAACGGGGAAAAAACGTACATGACTTGCTTGTTCTGTTTAGACAGGTTTAGCAAATCTTTTGCTTGAAGTATGACTGCAGGGGGGTGTGGAGGTGGCACAGCGCTAACAGTACAGGACCACGTAGCCAGGCCTTAGCCCTTGATGCAGCTTTCACAGGTTTGGGTCCCATCCTGCTGACTCTTTATGCGGGTGTCCCCAACCCCCCCCCCCCCTCTGTAGCCCCTATTTCTTTTCAAACCCACAAATGCAAAAGAAAAACTATGGTTTCACATAA